CAATATTTATATACGTAACAAGAACAACGCATAAATCCAAAAGTAGTTGTAATAGCAGTCGAAGCGATGGGGATACAAATCCTGGCAAGTAGGTCACCTTTAGCCTTTTTTTCCGGCCGCAAGTGAACCAACACTCTACTCCACATGCTTTTCGACTAATTAGTCGAACCTTCCTGAACTCCTAATAAAGCTCAAGATGTCTGTCCCTACAGTGAGTATGCAGCTCCACAGCTCGGGGAATATCATTCCTAAGCCACAGTTTTAAGAGTTTTAGGCAGTTTTCGTCCTCCGTATATCCCAAAATTACAAAAGGTTAGCTATATCGTTGCCTGAACTATATAGCATTTCATCACGCCCTACTCAGAAACTCCAAGGCATTTATTGAAAACTAGTTCGATAGCTGATGTAAAATGTATGTTGCTGTGAAACTCTGTGTTAGCTACTGCACGGAACGTGTCTATTTTTATAAATAATACATTCCGTATTTCCTTTCAACTTCCTGCCTTGTACCGATTTCATAATACCTAAAACATCACAATAAGCGATTTAAAATGTACTTCTTGGATTGAACCGTAATAAAGCAAATACTACATACAGCCTTATGATATAAACCGTGGAACAATGTTGTGTTCCGTTCATCACATAGACGAAAAACAGACAGATCTTATCCATGCCAGGCCGACAAGTTTTTTTGTAGGTCAAGTTTTGAGATCGAAAAAACGAAGTTTAGTAAAACGCTGCCAAAACATTGATCCTTCGAAGAGCTCTTTTCTGGGTCGAACAGCCCTATCCTGAATATTTCATTACTGGCGATTTGCGAGTGAACCGTTTCCTATTAGCAGCGTCTTGTGAGGCTCCATCAGTTGAAGCTGCGTCAAACGCTTATAAGTTAGCAGTAGTTATTTTAGGGGCTCATGCCGTTGTATCAGAGCCCCGTAAGATTTTCCATATGTGCTTCTCTAATTGTTTTTCTAACATTCTGTACACAGGGTAAACATTTGTCCTAAGCGCCTTAAATTTGACAGTTTTGAAAAATAAATCATGCGCACAATCTGAAACGCCACTTCAGATGTATTATATACAGGGTGTCCCGAAAAAAGTGTGCAATATTCTACCACCGGTTTCTAGAGCTTAAAATAGGAAGAAAAGTTTATATAAACATAGGTCGACAAACGACCCCTAAGGGCGCTACAGTCTTTTAAAGGGGCTTCCCTGAAGATGGTTTTCCTTAATATTTCCGAAACGTGTTGAGATAAAGTCATAAAACCTAGTTTTTATGCTGGATTTAAAAACATTAACAATTTTAGACAGTTTTGTAGGTACTCTTATTGAATATCAACAAATTGTGTCATTTTTGAATGAAATCAAACTAAAAAATTTTAATTTAAATGAATTGTTGATTATACATAGTTAGCCATGACTGCAAACAAAAGTTGTTTTGATTTGTTATGACTTATTTTGACGTTAAGCAGACATTGCTAGCAGTGTAAAATTACTAGATTAAAATCAAAATTTTTATTAAATCGATTGAAAGTGCCAAGATTTACAGACAGAGAACTGACTGACATGCATTTTGTGTACGGGTTTTGCAATGGCAGTTCATTGGCAGCCGCAAGAGAATATCAGAGAAGATTTCCCAATCGCATAGTACCTGGACGTCGAATGTTTACTGATATTCACCGGAATTTGTCAAACCATGGAAGTTTTCAGCGCATGCAGGGCTCAGAAAGGCCACTGGGAAATCATCGTATGGATATTGCTTTAAATATGTCTGAGAATAATCCGCAAATAAGCATACGAAATGTTTCAGAAATTATGGATATACTTCAGTCAATAGTAAGAAAACTTTATGAATACCTATTTGATAGTTATCCTAAAAATAATAATTTTAGATAGAAAGAATGACAAAAATGCAAGGATTACATCCTTATCATTTTAAACGGGTGCAGCATTTAACGGAGGCAGATTTTTTACCACAAATCGAGTTTTGCCAGTGGATATTAGCATATGAATATTATGGTCGGATGAGTATTTACTAGGAATGACGCTTTTAATTCCAATAACATGCATCACTTATCAGATGAATATCCAAAAGTTGTTCGCCGTACAAATTTCCGACATAGATTTTCATTGAACTTACGGGCAGGAGTAATTGGGGATCAAGTAATTGGGCCTATTGTACTTCCCAATCGTCTTAATTCAGAGGTGTATCTGAACTTTCTTCAGAATGAGCTCATGGAAGTGCGCCAGCAGTTTCAAGAAAATATGTTTTCTCAACATGATGGCGCCCCTGCACATTTTGGACGCAATGTTCGAAATTGGTTGAATGTCAATTTTCCAGACAGGTGATTAGGCCGAGGAGGTCCTATGGAGTAGCCGCCACGTTCACCTGACCTAAACCCATTGAATTTCTATTTTTGAGGGTCATTAAAAGACCTAGTTTACTCGACTGAAGTAAATACTCAAAAGATTTACTTCAAAGAATCCATCAGGCTCCTAACGAAATAAGAAGAAAAAGGTTTTCCACTTTGCGGGCTACGCAATCTGTATCTAACAAAATGGGAATTTATTTGAACACTCATTGTAAAGCTAGTTTTAAGTATATCCAACTGTATGCCTTCTTTTTTAAACAAATTTCAATTTCGTCCGTAGACAAAATTTATTTCTTTTATTTTTGCCTAAATGTTAGCTATGTTGCAATAGAAATATGTATTTATGTAATAATTACCAATTAAATTAGTTTTTTCGTTGCCATGGCTAATTATTTAAACTTGCAGTACATTTTCTATCATGTGATAAATTCTTTAGTTTGATTTTATTCAAAAATGGCACAATTTATCGATAGTCAATAAGAATACATTTTTTATGTAGAAAACCCTATATTTTCAAATTCTAAAATTGAATTACAAAAATAGAATCACACGAAAATGTTGGGGGTAAAACAACCTGAGTCCGTCCCTGTTACATAGGCTTCCAAACAAAACTCTCTACAATTGTTAATATTTTTAAATCCAGCATAAAAACTAGGCTAGAATACCAAATTTTTTGTCTTTATCTCAACACGATTCGAAAATATTAAGTAAAAACCATCTTCAGGGGAGCCCCTTTAAAAGACCGTAGCGCCCTTAGGGGACGTTTGTCGACCTATGTTTATATAAACTGTTCTTCCTATTTTAAGCTCTAGAAACCGCTGGTAGAATATTGCACACTTTTTTCGGGACACCCTGTATAATTTGAATTCTGTAGTGTCAGTTCTCTATATACTAATTATGTACTGGTATGGTCAATTGCTGCACAGTACAAACCCAGTCTATTGATTTTCGTCATCATATAATTCAGCTGCCAAGAATTTAAATCATTATTTAAATAATGATTTGTGTGATCTTTGCTCGTGTTTATGGGAATGTTGTTCACTACAATAGAAAAAACTGTGGAACTATTTAGGTTATTTGCTGTCAGTTATTCGAAAGAACACAACGTAATACCTGATACCGGATCCTTTGGCATAACAACAGTAAATATTACAAGGGGTTAAATATTAGAGTAACTTTTGGGTAAATTAAAGGTCACAAATACAGGCGGAATAAATATTTCTCTTATTATTTTCATTATTATTATTGGTAGCTAATAGTAATAATGATAATGAACTTATTATCTACCATTAGCTAATCAAATTTTTAATTTGAGAATATGCATATATGCATCTTTCCTTTATATATCTGATTTGTGGAGTTCACGGAAAAATACATGAGCATTAGGAAAGGTACTGAAATCCACTTTTTATCCCCTCTTATTAAACACAATCCATGAGATTTCAATTATAAACACCAGTATACCAGCACTTTATTTGTTTGTTATCGTAATGTGAACATACTCGGGTATGCAATTATGATAGACCTTTATTTAGATATAGTTCAGGTAAAGAAGGATTTTTATGCAGGGAATTGTAGCTCATAGTAGAGTTTATTAAGCTGAGGACCAAATTGTCACTATGTGATGGCAAGGGCATATTAACTCTTTGAGAAGTGAGAAGTTTCTTTCGGTCAAGGAGGTACTACCCCACGGATATCGATGGTGACGCAATTGTAAATCATTTCACCTTGATTTCATTTTTTCCATATAGGTGTGTAACAAGTTTTTGTTCGCAGCATAGCCCATGGATTCAAAGATCTTACTACTACTAAAATCATTTGTTGGTTTCATCTTGTTTGGAGTCCATACATTTCAGTGTTGTAAAAACTAGTTTTCAGCAGCATTAAACCAATATCCTAGCGCAAGTCATCAACATACGTGGTAGCATAGTAAAAAATCGGAAACAGCTGGATGAATCAGAAAATCGTAGCAATAATTCTAGGGTAGGAAGTACATCCAAATATAACAAAAAAAGTTCCTGTAAAGTAAAGTATATAAAACTGGCATCAATCTGACAACATACCTAGCCTACGATTTAACAACACATGACATAATCCAAACTGTGGCCTGAATGTGGTCTTACATAAAATATAAGCTACCACGATACGGTGTCTTGTAGATTTCTACACCACACGAGATACTAATAACGCAAACATCATTCTCCTAATACATTATATAGAATTTTCAATGTCGAATCTCGCTAAAAGTGTAATCGGGTGACTTTTTTATATGGATTCCACCTCTAAATATTCAACCCAGTTTTTTTGAGATTGAACGGAAATTTCTCGAGATAGGCTGTGCATATATAATTGAATCATTATTCAAACGATTCGTTTTTTGTTTATGTCCATAGCTCCACCGCTACTGAATGAATTTTCATAAGCTGCAAAGTCTTTTTGTCCTCGGCTTAGTGTTAAACTTGTGTGGAAATTTCATGAGAATCTGAATGGTATTCGTTATAGACTGAACAAGAATTAGGAGACCGACAAACCGACGGAAATGAATGACTTGGGTTTCCGCCAGCGGCGTGGGAGTTCAAAGTGAGGAGCGCTCGCCGTTGCATCCTCCATCACACTAACCACTAAATACAGAGTGAACTTCCTGATGAAATGTTTAGTGATATAAAAAACCTCGAAAAGTATTAACATACTGTTTTATCAAGGTGAACAACTGTCAATTATTGGGATTCATATACTGCGCTCAGGAACTGATACCACGTTGCCTTGACGTAATCTGCATCAAAAAATCATACACTAACCTACGATTTTGAGTTTTCAAGTATTAAGTTTTCTATTTATCCTTAACTATTGCGAGATTTATATATCGTTCTAACACACGAATGTGGGCGAAATAAATGACATATCTGCTTTTAGAACAGTCTGTGTTTTGTTGTATCACTTGATGTATGAAAAATCATGACGAGTAGTATATCAGAAGCAATTGTGGGCAAGCATTGCAAACTCTGTGAATTCACTCTCAGTAGTTTGTTTATCGATAAAACTAAATACCATGGATTCGTGGATAAGCTCCCTAAGAAACTCAAACTGGAAAAGCTAGGCGAAGCTGAATTTGTGGAAAAGATACAGAACCTACTAGATTCTGACTTGCTTGAAGTTAGTAAAAAACCTTATGGGAAAATATACCATGTCGAAGTGGAAGGGGTAAAGAAACCGGTTGTTTATGATCTGCTCTGCGAAATATTTCTCCATGTAGACCCTGAATCTAGAGCAAAGTCATTCCATGAAATCATTGATGATTACTATAACAAAGTGTTGTCAGAAAATGGTGTAACAGAAGATGAATTCAAGTTGCAAGTGAAGTTGTTCTTGCCATACGCAAAGCTGGAGAGGCTCTATCAGGTATGTACATCGAAAGCTAGTTTGGTTTATATTAGAATATTTTGAGTTACCTGTATTCCACCCGTTGTTCAAGTGAAAAGTCATGACGCGCTTCCACATTTGAAAGGCTTGGGGCTATAAGGTACCTTAGCCACGATATCCACATATTTTTACGCAAACAAAGCCATAAGTCCCGATTTGAACGCCAAATGGAAATTAGTCTATGGTGAAAACAATCTATGCTTCAATGATGCTGAAAACAAAGAAGGTTTTGGATTTAGTTCAGATGACAGTGTGAAAGATAAGCGACTGACAGTACTTCTGCAGTTCTGATAATGACTTTGAGCGAGTAACTTAGGCGAACAAATGGATTTGTGGCTTATGACTTTACTGCCGTTATAGGTGTGGTTTATGCTTTTGTTACGTGGGAAAACTATTTTTTATTTTTATGTTATAATTTCCACCAGATAATGATCTCAAGCCATTTATTTATCAGAACATATCATTAAAATAGCTATCGTAGACCGCAAATAACTTTTACACGTGCCGTTGATGTGCAATTTTGTGATGAATGGCTTATGCCCTTCTTGACCAAATATATTTGTGGCTTGTGATCTGAGTGATTCTTCAAGAAGGTTCATGATTATTTTTTGACCCATCCGTAATGAAAATACACCACATTTACGCATTTAGCTCCATATCTGTCAGGACAAATACCTTTAGCCTACATCAGGAGTCCGTTAAATTTCATGAAGTGTGCTGTTTTAATACAAACAATAGACACCAATTTTTTGCTCCTCAGAATGTAAACCTATTTTAGCATTTTAATTCAATCTAAACAAGAAACGAGATTTCAGGATTTCTATGTAAGTTAGATTTCTGGGAATAAAGCCAATAAGGCGTAGCAAACCCTTAATTTCACCAGGCGACTGTGAAAGCGGAGACTTGCAGAACCCTATTACACTAAACAACCTATCGGTATGGTTCTAGTTTAGGGTGAAGGTCTTTAAGATGCTGTTCAGATCATATTTTCGACTTTTCCATGCCGTGTATGTTTGTTTCGCAGTTTTGGCAAGAAGAGCTGAGGACATATGCCGTGTGAAAGAACGTCGAGGTAGGCACAGTAAAAGGCATGGACCACCCCGAAAGTTGCAAACATCAAACATGAATGTGTCGTCTTAGAATCGAATCACGACGACTTAAAGTAGCATGTGTATATATCGTAGACAAAGTTTCGTTTGAAACGTATTTCTTAAGAATTTGTGATCACATATTCATTGCTTTTCCTACATGTAAGAATTGCCATTTCAAACGTAGTTCTTCCTGAAAAGAAAAGTTATAACTTTCAGGTCACTCTGTCTACTAGGTGGTGGTGCAGGTTTGGCATATTCTTTTCTGATACTCGTAGTTCAAGCTTTCGATGTGAAAGTCCTCTATCAATCACAAGTGATATACTCACATTCACAACAAATTTTTAGTATTATATTCTACCATTAGACCTTAAATGAGGTCACCTGTAGTATCCTACGTCAACAATGAGCCTTTTGACGTTGTGATATCATGAAAAAAATAATATGAATATAAAAAATAACTAAACATTTGGCGTATACCTAACGACGCATTGTTACTTACGACCTTGTGAAAATATAAAGGTTATTTAGACGGATACGTAATTGTTACTCGACTTTGGTTTCGTTTTACAAACATTTATTTAGGTTATTATTTGTTAATATGTAAGTGTGGAACAAATCCAGAAACGGAGTATTGAACCAGTTACCGTAACCAATTGAACTAAAATTGTGTAGGCACGTTTAATGACAATACACAAGAAATCAAATACCTCCATTTCAAATTGAATATGGTGAATGCCACAAGATGATGACACACAATTGCCATTGTAACCTTCATGATATGGGTATCAAATGAAAGGGCCTGACGAGAAAAATACAGTAAACATCATGCTGAGTCTGATATGGATTGCATTGACGATTGTGGATTAAATAGGCGACTATTTGTAGATGTCTGAACCATTTTGGCACACACATACTCTGTGTGTGATATTTTATGCAAAATATCTGCAATCATATTTTTGATAAAAGTATGCAATTAACGTATGAAACATACGTTTCTTGGGGAAAAGAAGGGAAACAGGAAAATCTCTATTATATTTTAAATCGGGTCTGCCTTCAACGAAAAGTCGTGAAGATGAAATCGTGGTAGTTCCACGGAACACTGTCGTAACACTGGCCGTTAATAAAATTAAATCTGTAACTGTTAAATCTAGATCAAGTTCGATAGTTCGATCTCGTGATGTACGAGAAATGACATCACGCTCCTGGGTGGCTCGAGAGAAATACTTGGCGCTTTATTAGAACATTTAGTTACAAAAAGAATTACTTATTTTGAATGTGATACTGAGTAGTTTTGAGTGGTGAATGTTATATGTTAAATCAGATTAAAAAAAAAGAAACAATTGCAGAGACACTTCATAAAATCTGTCTTTAAAAATTAAGGTTATGGGGATCGTCGCATGATGAGCTGTCACAGTGGGATAGAGATGGGCACTATCAAAGATGTGCACTGCTCAGCTATATATATTTTTATCGAACTCACATTTCGAACACGTACTGATTGCCCGATTATTTGGAAAACAGAACGTCGCAAGATAAATTCGAGTAATAATAATATTATTTTCATCTGATCGTTTTTGTTTATCATAAGTTCAAATTTGTTCATATATTTATATTCATTTTGACGAGTTTGGAATACCTATGTTGTATAAAATAAAGCGGGTCTGCTATTTTTCGCAGCAAGTTATGGACTTAATTCTGTTAATTTTTGGGAAAAACATAAATTGTGTCTCTGGACCTGCTAATGCCATAGATAACGCATTGCTGTGAGGGTATGTATGCAAGTACGCATGTAAACTTAAGAATGGCAATAATTTGTAGGTTGTTAGGTTTAGTCTCGTTTACAAAATTAAATAAGAACAAAATTATAATAGTGTTACATAGAGGTTATATGTTGACGCGGGGGCATTGGGATGGCGGGGATTGGTCTTCGGGGACTGGCAATAGTGAGGAAATAAGGGATAATGGATAATGATAACATAGGTCAGCGAGTGGAGAGTGTTAATGATGAATCAATATTTGATAGTCCACATCAATACCATTTCACAGTCGGACATCTAAATATCAGATCCATAAATTCTGGATTTGACGAGTTCTGTAATTATATGACAGAATACAATTTTGATATTTTTGGAGTTTCTGAAACATAGCTCAATCCAACTTTAAGAAGTGAGAGTTTTTGCTTGCCTGGGTACAAATTTATAAGGAATGATAAGCAGGGTCGAGGACGAGGGGTAGCTTTACACATAAAAAGCGGGTTGAAATATTTAAGGGTAAATGTGGAAATTAACTGTGCAGAAACCATAGGTATAGAATTTAAGATAGGTGGAAAAACTTATCTTTTAGTTAATAGCTATCGTTCGCCTTCTGAGAGTGTCACTTATTTTTTAGACTCTTTAGAAGATCTTCTCGGTTTTGTCAGTGTCAAATATGATTATTTATTATTGATAGGAGATCTAAATATTAACATTTTAAATAATTCTCCATAAACAAATCGCCTCAAAAATATAATTCATAGTTTTAACTTATCACAAAGGATCAGTGAGTCAACAAGATACAATTTTGCCACAAGAGAGGCTAGCCTCATTGATATAATCTGTGCTAGTGAGGATCTTATCTCTATCGATTCTAAATCATTGGCAGTTTCTCAAAATCTCTCAGATCATAACTTAATTTACTCAGCCATTCGAAAGTCAAAAATAAATAAATCACAAAAGACTATTAAATATAGAGGCTACAATAATATAGATAGAGAATCCTTCTTAAATGAAGGGTTTCTACTCGGGTGGGAGGATATTTACTATATAAACCAAATCGACCAGAAAATATAATTCTTTAATAAAAATATAGTAACTGTTCTGAATAAACATGCTCCGATAAAAACAAAACAAATAACCGAAAAACCTTATGTACCCTGGATAACTCAAAATATAAGAATTTTAATCAAACTAAGAGATAAAGCTCATAAAGAATTTCAAAAAGCAAAATCACAGGCTCATTTTGAATATTATAAACAACTAAGGAACTATACAAAGCATGCAATTATCCGAGAAAAAAATACATTCTTTAACTTACTCTCAACAAAGAAAGGTAAGGAATTTTGGGACACTACCAAAAAGCTCAACATAACATGCAAGAAAACTCACTCAACTATACCCGAACACTTACAAGATATAAATGACATACACAATTACTTCCAGCAGACCGACAATTTACCAGACACTGCTTCCCAAGAATTAATCAATTTTTACAAAAACAATGTAAAAACATTAATGATTCTCTTAGCTTCCAACTGTTAGACAGGGCCAGTCTAATCAAAATTGTAACTAATATCTCATCAAACGCCATGGGAGAGGATGGTTTCTCTATGAGAGACCTAAAGTTATGTATCCCATTTTGTACGAATGCCTTGCTGAATATAATCAACACATGTATTTTGGGGGGATTATTTCCAGAAATATGGAAGAAAGCTATTGTTAAACCTATACCAAAAATAGCAGAACCTAAAGAATTTACAGACTTGAGGCCTATTAGCATATTACCCGCTACATCCAAAATTTTAGAAAAGCATATTTATAATCAAATTAGATTTTTTTGTGACACAAACGATATCATACACGATAGTCAATCCGGTTTTAGGAAAAACTTTAGCACAAGTACGTCATTAGTTAATATCTTGGATGATATCAGACATCATCAAGAACAAAAAAATAGTACGTGCATGGTTCTTCTCGATTTTAGTAAAGCGTTCGACACTCTGAATCATGAAATGTCACTAGCTAAGTTACATTACCAGGGGTTTTCGCAGAACTCCGTAAATCTAATAAAAACATACTTAAGCAACCGTTCAAACTGTGTCATGTTAGCAAATGATTCTGCTATTTACAAAACCGATTTTAAACCTATAAAAAGAGGAGCTCCTCAAGGTTTAATTTTATCTCCTTTGCTATTTTCAATCTACATATCTGACATGGTCAAACCGGTAAAATTCGCAAAGATAAAACAATATGCAGATGACTTACAAATATATCTCCTTGTCAATAGAACCACAATCCATATTGCACAACAACAACTAAATTCAGATCTCCAAAGGATTGACGGATTTGCAAAGCATCACAATCTTAAACTAAACCCCTCAAAATCGCAAGTAATGGTTACGAATAAAAACAGTACTGAAAGAGAACATTTTGAACAAAATTTAGTAATTTCTATTAACAATGACAGAATCCCCATAGTTCAGGAGACAAAAAGTCTAGGCATTATATTTGATAGCTCGCTTGGCTTCGGCAGTCATATAAAAAACGGAACAAATTTAGCTTACATGCGACTAAAAAATATAAATAAATTAAAAAACATTTATCAGCCAAATAAAAATATTATTTGTGTAATACCTTAATTTTATCACTTTTTGACTATGGAGATGTCGTCTGTGGTGATTCGCTATCGTCGCGAACCAAAAAATGCATACAAAAAGTTCAAAATAGTTGCATGAGATTTGCGACTGGAATTCCATATCGAAACCATATCACTCCTTATCTGAATAACTACAACATATTAAACATGACGAATCGCAGAAAATATTACATGTATTCTTTTATCTATAGGGTTATAAAAATAGTTCAACCTCCCTATTTAAGAGAAAGATTTGTGCCTTTGCCTAGTCCCCAGAGAAGCAGATATAATCTCAATTTTATCGTACCTAGGCATAGAACGCGTTCCTTCCGACGATCGTTTGCCTATGTGGCGGTTCACTTACGGAATAATTTACCAACTTCAGTTAAAAGCTCATCGTCGAAAACATTCTCAAAACTGTCAAAAACGTTGTTACAGAATCACAAGCTACTTTAGCAGCGTTTGTGTGAGCAAAAATATCGTTTTTACATTCCTACTCGCTGACAGGTTGTAAAGATTTGTTTTTCGCATCGGTTGCCAGCTCCCGGGGGTTCTTTCTTCGTTTTTGCCTTTTTTGTGTTTCACCGCCTCTTCATTTGCCTCTTTATTGTTTTTTTTATTTTGTTTAAGGACTTTTAGGGTATTCAGGGCTTTCTCGCATGGACTCTTTGTATTAAAGGGTCCAATGTATCGGTTTTATAATCGAGAGACTGTCCTTTTTCGTCATTACTCTATATGTAGAATTTCTTTTGTTTATGATGTTTATTCATGACGAAATAAATATTTTGAATTTGAATTTGAATTTGAATACTGTATTTCCGACAAGTCCAAGTTTAATCCCATTGATCTGCATTGTTATCTTAAATATCGTTATAATTTACGATAGTTGTTGTTGTATCACAAAATAGTAAAATCTTTAAATGCGTATTCAAATATCGTTATTGTCTAAGTTCGTATACACAGTCTATCTCTGGCCGACAAGGAGGCTCAAGAAAGGAGGGTTTCCATTTTACAGACCTTTTTTTTGGTTGTATATCTTATCTGGCTTTTACCATTTCTCTAAAATTTTATACAGCAAAGGCCACAGCACATAAATGTGTTTAAAATTAAAGTAACTCAGAAACATCGCTATATACCTTGAAGTAGGACATCCGGATTATGTGCAACGGCAAAAACATGTGATAATGGAAGATAATTAACGAGTCTGTTGAAATCTACACCTAATATTGGGAACCGATATATCCCATTTGGAGTTCTTTTTAATTTAGTTATATCATCTACAAGCTGTTCTCAATTGGCCAATTTTCGATGCAATTTTATGAAGACGCTTTCTAATTGGTCATTGTTGATCCGTTTTGATCTCCGGATCAAGTGTAAGAATATGTTTTTGTGGTAATTTATAAATAATTTCTTGATTTAGTTGGGGGTTAGAAGCCCTTCTCCCACAATTCATATATCGTTTCGCAAGTTTGACTGATTTTAGAGGAAATCGACTATATTCATTTGATTACCAAAAAGATGCCATCTCGTTGGTCCATTTTGATCCGGATCAAGGATTTTTATACGCGGATCAATAGTAAAATCAGGCATAAATCCACTAAAGCGAATTCTAATATGACACGGATCTGGCCTGAGGATGAAGCTGGAGGGTGGCTGTAATAAGATGACATAAAGCCAAAATGATGATTAAGGACCACCACCATTGGCCCCGTGCATTTTCTTCCTTTGACTGTCCCACGAACAAATTTGAAGTTAATACTAATTTGAAAAAATATACGTCGCGAGGTTAATACAATTGGAAATTTTATGCTTTTGCACGTTATGCATGACGCGTTGGACAGACTTCATGATTGCGTTCCACGATAGAAAACCAAATCCGCACTTGGTGCCTTATTTGAAATAAAAACACGGTTTCCAAAAATGTGATGTATTTCTTTGATTCTATTTGGTCTCCATTGGTAATAAATATTGGATAGGAACTAACTCTAGGTACTTTGTAGTGTAAAGCTGACGATATTCAGGAAGCTGTACTGGAACTTGAAGAATGCTTCTTATGTCCAAAAATATTGAGAGAAGATTGCTACGCTGCTCTCAAAAACATGTACAAATCAAGTGAACCAAGACTAATTCACTTAGATGTGGTACAAGCTCAAGGCCTTCCCGGAAATTTGGGAACTTACTTCAAGCTCAAGCTAACCGTAAAGAATGATGGAAAAACAAACATTCATCAGTTATTTGCAAAAGTCATCGATACAAATGCATTGGGTATTCCTGGTTTCTCCCAAATTCCTTTCAAAAAGGAACGAGTATTTTTTGAAAAGATCATGAAGCAGGTCGTGGAACTTGGCTTGGAAAAGCTTACAGACTTCTGTCCAAAGTGTTACTTGGTCAGCAATGAGATGTTGTTGCTCGATGACTTATCAGTAGAAGGGTAAGTAACAGGTTTCAAGCAATTCAAGTTAGGCCCGATTACTGGTTTTTGCTCGGGTCATATTCTGTATACATAATTTTACAGAAATGTCAGGGTTTTCGCAACGGTAGATTTTTTGAGTGTTATGTTCTTATAAAGGGTGTCTCATAAATATTTTCTTATTTTATGCCATAAATAAAAATACTTAGAATATTTTTACAAAGATAAATTTATTACCAAACGAAAGCCTAAACATTAATTTTATTTATGGAAAAGAGTATCGGATAAATGAGCACCGTTCATGTTTTCACACTCTCTTAATCTCGAACTGAAGTTTTCGATCACTCTCCGAAGCATTGCTCGAGGAATGGCGTTTATTTCATCTGTTATTTTTTGCTTCAACTCTCTCAAATCTTGTGGCGGTGGGGTGTATACCTTACTCTTCAGGTATCCCCATAAGAAAAAATCTGCTGGTGTCAAATCGGGACTTCTCGGTGGCCAGTTAATGTCTCCTCTGCGACTGATGACCCTCTCTGGGAATAACTGATGAAGAGCATCCAAGGATTCATTCGTGACATGAGAAGTCGCTCCATCTTGCTGGAAAAACGTGTTTCTATTGTAGCCACCATGGTTCTGTATAGCTGGAGTTAAAAAAGTCCTAATCATGTGGCAGTAGCGCTCAGATGTTACAGTTTGAGCTTGGCCACGATTGTCTTCAAAAAAATACGGGCCAATGATTCCTTGCCCTGACATAGCAGCCCAGACGATAACTTTAGGCGAGTGTAATGGCGTCTCATGAAGATTTTGCGGGTTCTGCTCGGCTCAATATCGGCAGTTTTGTTTATTAACATGCCCGTTAATGTGAAAATTCGATTCATCAGAAAACCATATGTTGTTGTAACCGTTAAAATGCTCTCTCATTGTTCTACAGAACTCTAATCGATTAGCGGGATCTTGTGGTTTTAATTGTTGTGTAACAACAATCTTGTATGGGTGAAAATGCAAATCCTTGCGAATAATGCGATGAACAGTTGACTTATGCAAAGTTAGAGACGCTCCACGCAGTCTTAATGATTGCCGGGGATCCTCGTTAACGGACTGGCGCACACGTTCAATATTTTCGTTCGATCTTGCTGACCTTGGCCGTCCAGGCGGTTTACTAATACACGTGTTTCCAGTGCTCTCGAACTTTCTTACCCAATATTTAATTAAATTTGCGCTTGGGACATCCCTCATTCTTGCTATGTTATAATGATTTCTGTACAAACGACGTACAAGCCCATAAGAATCCTTGTTTTTATAGAACTCGCGAACACAAAAAGCACGTTGCGGCCCTGTAAAACGCTCCATTGCAACTAAAATTTAACAATGTTGCCAAACGTTTGTCAACTGTCTCGTTTCTCCGGAGCATGCGTATTCCGCCAGAGGACTGATCTAAAAACGAAAATATTTCTGAGACACCCTTTATTTCCCGACTTATGTATATTCCGTCATACGTAGGGCCCGGCATCAGTTTAGTCCTAGAACAATTAACTACAATGCGCCTAGGCTATGCTTACATTTTTATAAAATGCCTGCTTTGGTTGGCCCAAATACGAAATATATAAACGTTCAGCTGCTAATTTAGTGCAACTAAGTTGACAGTTTTTTAAAATGACTCATCGCAAAGTTGCGGTCAAAAATTTTAATGGTAGTCATTTTTTTCGATTTTATTTCATTACAAAGGCCGAAGCGAATATGTCTTAAGCTTTTTTCTTAACCCATGGTAGATTACGAAGTAGGCATTGTTTGTAAAAATTGCTGAAACCTCCATTATTTAAATTTTCATTATCGCCACAAATTAATTTATTCTTAGTCACTAGTTAAGAACAGGTGAATAACAATTTTAAAACGATTTTTCATAACCCGCAAAATACTTCGATACTTGATCCGTCAGACGTGGCAACGCGGTCAGAGCCCTAAGCTAATTTTCATCCATAATAGAATTTTTGTCAGATCTGGGAACATTTAGCGTCCCCTTACTGGGCTATGTATACATGCCTGAAACGATAAACGAACCATTCTTCAGTTGTTCAGTTTTCCATAATATACTAAGTGACATATAAATCCGAACACCCAGTTTAAATGTTTTTATTTTAATAAAAGTTGGTGAATGTATTTATCTTACTGTAAATAACAAGTGAAACAATTTTCAGCCTTATCAGTTGGACATTCCGGTTTTTATACTGCTTTTTTTTAATTCACTAACGCTCTAAAAATGAATATTTCAGCCGCAGTAAAGAATTAACGTTGGCGGATTTTGGTTCTTGACATCGTTTTCGATCGGTTACGATGCCTAGAGTACGGAGACCTGTACGATTTCGTCAACTTAGTGAGTTTGATAGGGGCCGTATAGTGGGACTTCGGAAAGCTGGACTTTCTTTTCGGGCAATTGCAGTTAGAGTGCAAAGAAGTGTAGACACTGTGGTTAGGTGTTGTCGGGCATGGCTTTAAGAAGGCCGTACGCAAAGAGCAAGGGGCACTGGACGCCGCCGTAAAATAACAGACCGTGAAGATCGCCGCCTAAGATTATTGGCTTTAAGGGACCGTTTCTCCACTACCAGGTCCATTGCAAATGAATGGTTTGCAGAACACGGAAGACCTATAGGCGTGCGAAGTGTTTACCGACGAATGAGAAGTTTTGGCTTGTTTTCATACCGAGCACACTGGGTCCTCCCTTTAACTCGAGAACACCGACGTAATCGCCTTGAGTGGTGCAGACACCGGTCAATGTGGGATCAGGAATGGAACAGTATTGTCTTTAGTGACGAGTCTCGATTTTGTTTAGGCATGCACGATGGTCGTGCCAGGGTTAGAAGGCGACGTGGTGAAAGGAGGAATCCACAGTTTTTTGTTGAAAGACATGTTCATCACACTGTTGGAGTTATGGTTTGGGGTGCTATAGCTTATGGTTCCAGGTCACCTTTAATCTTCATCAGAGGTAACATGAACGTGCAGGGACATGATGGGCAGGATTGCAACGTCCTCCTCAGACTCTAGAAGCACGTCAAGAGGAGTTGGCGGTTGCCTGGAATGAGATACCACAGGAGGACATTGACCACCTGATCAGAAGCATGATTAGGCGCGTTGTAGAGTGCGTAGCACATCAGGGTCATCCACACATTATTAAAGGTCAAAGGGCTTTAAAGCAGTGCAATCATTTTGAAATTTATCATTTACTTATTATGCTTCATTAAGTACTTATACAAAATTTTATTAAAATAAAACCATTTAAACTGGGTGTTCGGATTTATATGTCACTTAGTATAGTTGAAGTATTGTACTATATGTTGGGCTACTAACTTTGGTTAGTTACTGGAATAACAATTCCGTAGTAGTATTAGTAGTAGTAGTAGTATTTATTGGCCGTATTGATACATAAGCACATATACATGGTGTTCATTTGAAAGTATTCTCACCACGGATATATCGAAAAGCACTGATTAAAAGAAAAACCGCCAAGACACTTCACCCCCTTTCACCCTCTGAAAACCAGGCCATTTACTTGAAAATTTAAAATGACAAGGGGTATCGAGAAGTAGCTTGTCTGAAAGGTCTTTCGAAGTCCTTCATTTTGACGTTTGATTTTTCAAAATCGTTTTCGGAAAAATTAGACCAATCTGTACCTACCCTAATTCGTTCAGATATCAAACAAAAACACCCGAAAATATCACTTTTTATTTCAATAAGTTTTAAAAATGATGTCCGTTCAGGTAGGCCAAATCTACAGTTCGTTTATAATTTAAAACGGCAACTGCCAACATAAACAGCAATTCGGAAGGTTAGACGTGACAAAAATCAAATAACAATCCGAATTTTTTCCACATTCTTTTCATCAACACAGATATTCAGGGCAAACTGTTTGGTTATTTGTTGCTAAGGGAAAGAAATAATGTAACTTGCTGTCTGTTACTTTTGTGACAATCTTGGAGTAGTGAAAATAAATTTATTGATTCAGATTTTACTTCCCAAACGGTTCACACACTAGCCCAAGGAGTGGAAATGATTCTAATTATTGGTGCTCAAAATGAAGTTTAACGCCATCATCCGGGGAAGATAACTTGCTTTGGACCTTACTCAAAATGAATCTGTTGTGAGTAAAAACGTGATTATTGGAGAGTTTTGGATAAAGCCACTCAAGTTGAAGTTTTGGGTCATTTTGAAATAAATCCTAGTACTTTGTTTTTGTTGCTGCGACTGGCATTTCATCACGATCTGTTCACACGGTTACTATAGTCTATAAGTTTCATCCATTCAAAATGGAAATATTGCAAGAGTTAACCGAAGATGATTTCGATAGGCGAGTTGCTTTGTGACTGCAGCGGTTAATGATAATACTACTTATGTAAAGAATATCTGCTTCAGTGATGGATGCACATTTCATCTAAGTGGATTTGTTAATATACATAACTGCAGGTATTGGAGCAATGAATATCCTCATGTTTCTGTAGAAGAGCATACCCAGTACCCCCAAAAAATTAATGTATTGGCAGGCATTTTAGGAAACAAAGTGATTGGACCATTGCTTATTAATGGAAATATGAATGGAGATATTTATTTGGATATGTTGTAAAATGTCATCAAACAGCTTATCACTGAAACCATTGAAAACCAAATCCAAGATGATGAAAACCCTATACTCGTTGGGGCTGAAATATATTTCCATCAAGACGGCGCTCCTCCTCATTATGTTCTTCAGGTTGGGCAATGGCTAGACGATGAGTTTCCAGATAAACGGATAGGGCCAAGAGGGACTACAGAAATGCCTCCTAGATCTCCTGATTTGACGTTATTAGACTTTTTTCAATGGGGACAATTGAAATCTATCGTGTTTACTCCCCAGCCTGCAAGTTTGGATGAACTTCGTCAACGCATCACCGAAACCTGCCATGATGTCCCACAACATGTTTTTGAAAATGTCCGTCAGGAATTTGAACATCGCCTATATCATTGTTTGGACTATAGCTGGCAACATTTTGAACACTTATTAAAATAGAAACGTGATGTTTTCGTGTGTTTTTGTTTTCTGTCTAAACAAATTAAGATAAACTGAGATGTTTGTAATTTTCTTGAAAACGAAACGCACGATTTTAAGAAATCAAACGTCAAAATAAAGGACATTTAAAGATCCTTCTAACAAGCTATCACTCGATACCCCTTGTCATTTGAAATTTTTAAGGGAATATCCCTGGTGGCAGTTGGTGAAGTAGTTTTTTGTTAAAAAGTTACTTCCCTTGACAAATTGCTTGACGTGTCTCGGAGTTTCTTCTTTTAATCAGTGGTTTTCGATAAATTCGTGGTAGAAGGTTTTCAAATGAATACCCTGTATATAGCAGGTCAATACAAAAAGAAAAATAAATAAGCAAATATGTTGAATAGCATTTAATTATATTATTTGTCCTTGTGTTCTAAAAACTTGTCAATTGTATAAAACCCTTCCTCTTATAAAAACGATTTCACTTCATATTTAAAATTTCTCAAATTACTCATTTTTTTTTTAAATACTGAGGCAGCTTATAAAATCTTACACAGTTTTGATGATTTGAGCGCATGACGCGACTGGGTTGTGTTTGATTTATGAGTTATACTTTTTTAGAACAGTTGGATGATAGTGGTTTTGTTATAGGTATGAATCCTGCGACTTTCATATACCAGTATCGCACAAATGGTTGTTTGCAGCGGTCAAAGTGATGGCCAAACTTCATGCGATGTCAATTATTTTCGAGGAAAAGCTAAGTGAAAAATTTGGAAGAAAAGTAAAAATAGATGAAGAATATCCCGAGACTGTAGTTGAAAACATATTTAATGAAAAAGGAGAGTACAGAGAAACCGAAGATCGTTTTGCTCGTAGTATATCTGAGTACACTTTGTCAAAGTTTCCTGACCTATTTAACACCACGAATCATGAGGTTTTGAAGGAACGGATAAATAGTGCTTGTAAAAAGCTGTATAACATGAAAAAATCTGATACAATCAGAAATGTGCTGAATCATGGCGATATGTGGGGAGGTAAGCTCAGTTTGCGCGACGCTACCCATCATGACGAAATGCAGTAATGATGAACTGCAACGGCGAATATTCTGGAGAGTCTCACACTCCGAGCAGATAAGGCTGGTAGGAGCAACATGTCGAACTTTTCTGCCAGAGAAAGGATATAAAAGCCTCCCCTTAACAAACTAAGCCCAGATTATAGGCTCAACGGGCAGAATTTTAATAGTTCAGGATCTATCTTTGCACCGGCTCGGGAAAATGTTCCGACTCGGTTTCTTTTGCATCATTATCTTCAAGAACTGTTGACAGGCCCCAGATTGAAACAAAACTGTCTTTGTCGCTCTAGGTAAAGCCTTTCAAGGCTTTCCGGATCATTATAAGAATAAGGTTGTAATAAACTTTTCTCTAAAACTGATATTTTTCGAGATGTGAGCAATTTAGTATTGGGAAACGTGTAAAGTATACCGTTGTCTCACGTTAATGCTAAACCTAATAAATATGTTTCAAACACCCAAAAATGAAATCCCAAGGTCATAGAATTCATAATTATCTTCCAGATAGTCTGACCGCAATGAATGACACCGCCAAAATTTAATAAAACAGACGCACAGATACTAACAGAAAAGCAATTCTTCTTTTAACCTACGCCCTGTTTCCTAAAGACAAAGCTTTTTAGGACACGTTTGTACGACCTTTTCTGATAAAGTTTGGGTCAGAGGAGTGTGCCCCCTTTGTTCATTCTGTATGAATTTATTTCCTTATCCCATTTTATAATCAACCTATTACTCTTTTCCAGCTAACATCATGTATAAAGAAGACCAAGCTGGCCAAACTGCGTCAGTATTATTCGTTGACTTCCAATTGATCAAGTACTGCCCACCAGCTCAAGATCTTCTTTTCTTGATCTACGTCAACTCTGATGGCCCCACCAGGAGAAAACACATGACTCACCTCATCGAACTCTACTACAAAGAAATGACCCAAATACTGAACTCTCAAGATGTCGATGCTGCTAACATCTTCACTTTCGACCAGTTTGTCAAATCTTGCAAGGAAGTTGAAGCTGCCATAATCTGCAAATGTGTGTTGTACGGTCACTACCTATTGCTACCGAAGAAGTACAGTGAAGAACTGATGGCCGACAAAGAAAGAGCTGGCAAGTTCGTACTTGGAAATAGGGAAACTGAGCTGGATAATGTTTGGGACTATGAACCACTTAGGAAGAGGATGGGATGGTTCATGGAAGATCTTGTGAGAGTTTGCGGAAATGAAGAAATCAATAAGGCAACACAGTAAAACATTAATATTGTTTTTTTTGTACCTGTGTATCCGAACATCCTCCAAATAAGGCTTCGCGACACTATAACGTTTTTTCATGAAATTAGCGTGTAGGAATTAGCAGCAGTACTGTATAACTTAAACAAGAGGATCATATTTATATACTTCCGTCGCTTCTTATTAGCTTATAGCAACTAAATACTGATTTATGGTCACGTCACATGCTTCACTTTTGTCTTGATATTCTGAAGGTACATACAACAAAAAATTTAAATTACAAGAAAAGTGTTGTTTAATTCTATCTTTATACTACCTTCACGAACAGCTATAAAGGGTTAATAGAAAGAACCGGAAGGGTGGATTATCTCAGCAATCGTCAAATATGAATGAACCAAATTTTGTGCGAAGGGGTAACTCATCATTAAAAAGTCAAAGATTATATTTGTAAGGTTGCCAATTTTTTAGTTTTCTTCCTAGGTTGAGCAATTTTTAAATTTTGAATAGAATACCCTAATTTTTATGATTGTAATCAATTGCCTGTTTCAAGTTTATTACGACCTGATATTACCGTTTCTCAGCTCTTGTCAATTTCGGAGATATGGCATCATGCTTCTTTCGAAATGAATACAAGAACGATACTGATTGGAAAATTATCTCGAATCCGATCCAACCGGAATTCGTCAAAATTAGTACAGATGAGTAACTGGACGTTATAAATTTATGAATTGCATTTGCGATGTTTCCAAGATTGTATTTAAAAAAAGACAAGTGAAGGGAATCAGGAAATTTAATTATGAAACCAGTAAATATTAGTGCAAAATAATAACATAATATTAAAAAATAACAAAATACCTATCTACTTGATCAGCAGCTCAAAATGTCTACCATCGTTGGCTAAAAAATTTTCGAGGCGATCATTAAATTCTGCCAAAGTATTCGGAAGCAGGTCTGGAGTAATTTGTGCGGCTTCATCCAAAACCTTTTGTCTAAGTCCTTCCAAGTCATTGGGCCGATCTTTATAGACTCTGCACTTCAGAAAACCCTAAAAGAAGCAATCTTCCAGAGTGCCACGAATTATGTACTCGGAACTTCAAACTTCGTTTTTAAAAAACTTTATTTGATTCCAACAATAGTTTACATGAACTGAACCGGAATTACAGTGTGTGTGTCCGCTGTGACTGAGATTGAATGACTGACTCATAATTAAGATACAATCGTTAATGTAAACCAAAAGTGATGAGCTAGTAAAAAGGAATACAATGCAACTATTATGTCAATTAATAAAGTGCTAAATGACGGCAACATAACTCCTCCACCCTTAAGATGAAGTTTTGGAGGGCACAAACAAAACTTCGTGCCTCTGGGGTTGCATTTCCATTTCTTCTAAATGCTGGCTTCTTCTTGATCCTTTTCTTCTCTTGTAATAATTTTTCACGAAGATGCATGCAATTCCAATTAACATAATTGCATACAGGGGTAGACTCCATTTGTAGGGGTGCTTCACTGTTTCGGGAAGATCTACCTGGATTTGGTCGGCTCGTTCTTGCAGGTGATGAAGTTTATCTAAGGAAATATGTACTAACTTGATTTCCTTTGGATTTTCTGTTTTTGATGAAATGTGGACCTCTGGAAGCAACAGCGGCTTTTCCATGGTTGTTCCTTTTTGATTTTTGTAAATGTAGTCCTTCGTTTGTATGCTGCACTGGTAAGGCACTTCAAGTAGGTAAATGCCTTTTAACGTCATCTTGTTCACACTTGATTATCAGCTTTTCAGGTTTCGGAAAAATAGCAATGTATTTGGACTCTGAAACTTCTTCAATTAAGGCGATTTTAAGAGTTACGGGAATTTTATTACAATTTGGCTGCTTTTTGTTTACTTGTAAAATAGCAAATAGACAATCGTCTTCTTCTTCTGCTAGATGTTTTCGTGGCAAATAAAAATATCTTCTATCATTTGACATGATTCAGCATCTATTGGTACTTTTTGGTACTCATTGTGAAATAGGAATTTTTGGGAATAATGGTAGTTAGGTTAACAGTAGGAATGGAATAAAGATGATAATGCTTGAATGTGTCTACGTGCATAAGCGGAACATGTAAGGCAAAAACTAATCGATTTTGGGAAAAATATGCTTCTACTGAAATTATGTCGTAAAGCTTATAAATATCTTTGATGTCTGAATACACCAACTGAGCTTTATTATGATTTTTGACTAATATTTGGAATATTGACTTTAATTCATCTATCGAAATAATACTGTGGTGCAATGACCCAATTTTGGCAAATGCGATGGCATTTTCCAAATTACTAGTTATAGAGAGCAGTGTATCTAAATTGAACTTTATTTGTAATAGTGTATCCAAAATAGTAAAATAGTATGTATTGTTCCTTTGCATCTCTACCAAAGTTTGTTCTATTAAAGCTTGATTGTGAACCATAAGGCTAAATGTCTTACTGTTATTTTTGAGAACCTCGTGGGTCAAGGAAATTTGCTGATTAACTGTCTTAATTACTTACTGATTTTTCTGTAATTGTTCAATTTCCTGGTCATATTTTTTAGCATCGTCATCATCTAAGTTCCCTGAAATCATTTTGATAATTGATCCTAAACCGTTTATTAAACCTCGCTTTGGGCGATATTGCTTTTTCCAGAATGGATATATGGACTTTATTTTGTTTTTCAAATTTGACATCGAGTAAACTATATGCTGTTCTATATCTGCCAAATGTGTATCTGGAATGAATCCTAAATTATATTTATTCTTTTCTGTTTGGTCCTTGATTTCTTGAAATACTGTACTTAGCGAATTTACTTCCTTAATTATTATCGGCTCAAAATCTACATAGTGTAAAAATGTATGTGTTCCTATTTTTACTCTAGCGTCACCTAATCTAAAGGGTAGTATACCAGGATTTGTTTTAAGGTTGGTGACCTTCACCGTGGACTGATGTGTCAGATGCACTATCAGAAGAAGTATCATCCTGTAACAAATTTTGAGTTACTTTCTTTCTGGGCTTTTTGAAAATACTTTTATGATAAATATTTCTATTAGTTTTTAGTTTTAATACCTTTGTCAGTCAAAATCTGTTCTTTTATATAGGGTGGTTTCAGCTTTTTACCTCGGGACTTCGCGTCACGTCGGTACGCTACTTTTTCTCTAGAATAGTCGGTCGGTTTTTCGCGATCTTTATTAGCTTTCCGAATAACCTTTTCCTTTTGGGTTTTCGACATGTCATAGATAAGGCTATAAATTAATTTTGTCCTATTCTTGTGTTCTTGAAGGTAATTGTTCATTAATTCTCGATCAACGTCTAGATCAAAAGGATCTCTAACGTCTAAATGTCCGTTAATAATTTCAATTGGTTTTCGTTTCGTCACTGAATGTATGGACTGATTGTAGCCAAGGATTGCATAGGGCATCAAAGAATTAACATCCTTTTTTGGAAATTGCAATTCAAGAGCTCTTAAATGTTCTGTTATAGTGGAGTGGAATCGTTCAATAGGTGAATTGCTATTTGAATTTTTGGAAGTTGTAAAATGCAGCTTTATCTTATGGAGTTTTGCAGACTCTTTTATTAAGGAGTTGTTGAACTCAGTACCAGAATCTGCAACAATTTGGATGGGCAAACCATGAAATGACATGTATTTGATTAAATTGTCTACAACAGAGATAGCATCAGCTGCTTCGATTGGGAAGGCTTGCGCATATTTTGAAAAATTTTCAATTGTTGTTAAAAATTTCTTATTGTTAGCTTGATATACATCTAAGTGAACAATTTGGAATGGCATTTTAGCTGTCGCGGTAATCTCAAATTCAATTCTAGGTGGATGTCTTTCATATTTGCCTTGCTGGCAAATATGTATGTATTGACGTATAACTTCACGTCATCATATTTCTGACCGATTTCTGACTTATTCGCGAATTAAGGGATAACTTTGTGGTCGTTGTCCTAGGGTTTTCTTCAAGCTATAAAAGGACATTTAACTTATTCTCATCACTGGTAGCGGTTTTCGGTCTCCCTCATCCAGATTTTCTTTCCACTCAAGCAAGTTTCTTACTGTCCTGCAGATAGTAGATTTTTAATTTGTTTTTCGGGATAGAACGCATCAATCAAATTGCACACTTTTTCGTAAGATCCTTGTTTATCTCCATAACCTCGAAAAATAAGAATTTCAATTCGCTGTTTTTCGTTAAGTACAAATGCCGTAATAACGCCTGCAATAGTTGTCACTTTTGAATTATTTTTGCTTTTCCAATTATTATGGTTCTGAAGACTCCATGATATTACAAACAAATGAATAACACGCCTTCTTGTTTATTTTGAAATGATTTCTTACTAAGTTGCAAGTGTAAGGAACGAAACTAACCATATCTCCGAAATTGACAGGACTGAAAAAATGATAACATCAGGTCATAATAAAGTTGATACAGGCAATTGATTACAACAATAAAAATTAGGGTATTTTATTTGAAATTTTAAAAAAAATCTTGCAAATATAATTTTTGAATCCTTCGCATAAAATTTGGTTCACTTATACAGGGTGTTCCAGAACTATGGGATCAAAGTAGTAACAGTAGAAAACATTTGAGTATAGGGACCCATATCCGGCGCTTGTGTGTTGTTACCTTTAAAAACGATAACAGGGATAATTTTTGAGTCGTGCTATCGTATTTATGAAAGTTGCAAGAATTTAACAAAAATTAATTGTTGCTATTGGAAAACTTTACCAATCAAGAGTTGGCGGATATGCATTTGGCATACGGAGCAACAAGCTGCAATGCACGAGTAGCAGCGTGGTTGTATCAAGAACGTTATCCCGAACGACAGCATCCGGGATACAAAAAGTTTATTGCTATTCATCGGCGGCTCTCCGAGATAGGCATGTTTAAAACCAACAACGGTCGAATTTGAAGAATAGGTATTTCCTCTCAACTTCCTGCCTTGTACCGGTTTCATAATACCTAAAATATCGCAATATGCGATTGAAAATGTACTTATTGGATTGAACCGCAATAAAGCAAATACTACAGCCATATGCTGTAAAGCGTGAAACAATGTTGTGTTCGGTTCGTCATATAGACGAAAGGCAGATCTAATACATGCCTATGCCTCCGCCAGGCCGACAGGTTTTTTTGTAGGTCAAGGTTTCGGATCTAAAACACGAATTTGAGTAACACGCCCAACTAGCAAAGTAGTGTTATAAGCTTTTGGTAAAAGAACCGTTCAGCCGTAAAAGCTCTCTATTGCTGTTGCCTGAACACCAAAATGCTGGCTTAATGTTGTGTGGAATGCAAATTTGCTTTTTGCAACATATTTGCTCTAAAGTGGGGTCTTTGTAACATTCTTATAGCATAGTTATACAACACCTTATAGGCCAAATTTTTAACTGTTGCATAAACGTTTATACAACTATTTTATACGGCATATTTGCAAGTTAGTCAAAATGGTTGTGTTGTGGCATCCATGGTAACGTTTATAAAACAAACCCGTGCCTTGTTGTTTTGCTGTGCAATTTACTACTTTAGCCAACAAATTGCTCCCAACGGAACCACTTATACAACTGTTGTTTAGTAACTGTTAAAGGCTGTACATATGCTAAATATGTTGGTATACAACTTCACTATAATCTAACTTTCTCCTGTCATATTTTTGTTAAAATGCCATAACCAATGTTTTAAGACAACGCATGCATATTGGTTCAAAATGTTTTATCAACTGTTCAAACAGAAGATATAGATCTGGTACAAATTCTGGGTAAATCATTCGACTCTGTCGGTATTTCATTTCAGACATTTGTCAAATTGTTGTATAACACCTGCAGGCAACACCAAAACATTCTAATAGCCTAAAGACAACATGGACGATGCCATGATTATACACAACCACCCGCCATATTGGGCAAACATTTATTCCTCTATTTAATATTAAATAATTATGTTTCAGTTCGAAATTACAGATATAAAGTGATAAACATTAGTGTAATTGTGTCTAAATATAGGATTTGTGAAAGATTTAATGCAGATAAGTTCAGTTTTCCATCTTAAAAATCTCCCCCCTTTCCCCTGTATCCCCCTATAGCCCCACGGTACCCAATGGGTGTTTAGGCCTTAGGCCTTCGTGGTAGTTGGAGTATAAAAAAAAATCTAGACATACTTTTGATCATTATCAAAATATGAATCAAATACGAAGCCCGTAGAAATTGCGTAACTAATTTGCACGATAATCACAATAAAATTAGCTGCGCAAGTAATTCAGTAGCCCTATATCACAGTGTAGAAGGTTATCATGTACCTGTGTATGAAATTCACAATGGCCGGTATGTAAGTAAACAAGATGACTGTAATGTGTTAATTATATATTATTCTTCGTCTATACAATACATAAGAAATAGTTTGGTTGCAATAAAGTAGAATCACGTAACAGAATAGTTGTATAGTTGACAAAAACTGAATCTTGCACTGACGCAAATGTCCTATAGCGGCTGCAAGAGGCTTACACGTTTGTTGTATAACTGTTACCTGAAGCCCTTATACAACCTCTTAAATGACTGAAGTGTCCTATAAGGTGTGCCCATTCGGCTTGTATAGCAGTTCTAAGAGGGTTTTGCCAATGTTCTTACAGTATACAATGCTGTTTAAGGAATACTGTATAATCATTCTTGCAACTTTAATAGGAGTGATAATTGTTAGTTGGGCGCTGTCATGTCATTGATCCTTCGAGGAGCCCTTTTCTGGGTCGAACAGCCTACCCTGAATATTCCACCACTGGCGATTTGTGAGTTAACCGTTTCCTATTAACACCGTCTTGTGAGGCTGCATCAGTTGAAGCTGCGTCAAACGCTTATAAGTTATCAGTAGTTATTTTAGGGGCTCATGCCGTTGTATGAGAGCCCGTAAGATTTTGTGCTTCTTTAATTGTTTTTCTAACGTTCTGTATACAGGGTAAACATTTGTCCTAAGCGCCTTAACTTTTACAGTGTGGTGAAGCTTTGAAAATAAATCATGCACACAATCTGAAACGCCATTTCAGATGTATTATATATATTCACTGGGTCAAAAGGCACTGTTGTACCACATTTTTTTTATTAGTCACCGCTCGTACGGAAGTCCACCTGCCTGTTTTGACAGTGATTGATGAGACACCAATTTTATTTTTTTAGATGGAAGCCGTACGTCGGACGAAAAGAATGAATACAGAAATCATTTTTTTCCATTCTGAGGAAGGTCAGTGGCGTGTCAGATAACTTATTTTTGAAAACGTCCCCAGCTTGTATCTCAAAAGTCGTTTGGAACATATGTTTATATGAAGTTTTCTTCGCAAAATAGACTGAAATATCGTCCCCACAGATATTGACATCCATTTAGGAGACAACAACAAGGAGATGGTCATCTCATTCTAGTGGATCAAACTAAAATATATATCTTCGGGAGTGCTGATTCCCTTAAAATTCCTCAAATGATATTATTATATTAATAGTAATAACGACATTTACTCAACAAGAGGCAAAGTTGTTTAAAAATTGGCAAATAAATATGAAAAAATTTAAGATGTTATCTTACTAAAATTCAATCATATGTGTATAACAATTATAGTCAATTCTGAAAAGTATTTATATCATTTGAATTTTGTAGTTTCAGTTTTCTATATAACTATGTACTCGTATAGTCATTTGCTGCACAGTACAAACCCAGTCCTTTAATCTTCGTCATTACATAACTCAGCTGCCAAGAATTTAAATCATTATTTACACAATGATTTGTGTGGTCTTTGCTCGTGTTTATGAGAATTTTGTTCACTACAATGGAAAAAACAATGGAACTACTTAGTTTATTTACTGTCAGTTAATCGAAAGAACACATAATACCTGGTATCGGATCATTTGGCATAACAACAGTAAATATTACAAAGGATTAAATATAAGAGTAGCATTTGGGTAAATTATATGTCGTAAATACAGGCGGAATAATTGTTTCTATTATTATTATCATTATTATTATTACGGGTAGCCAATAGTAATGATGATAATAAATTCATTATCTACCATTAGCCGATCAAATCTTTAATTCGAGACTATGCATAGATGCATCTCTCCTTTATATGTTTCATTTGTGAAATACACGGAAAAATACATGAGCATTAGGAAAGGTACTGAAATCCTTTTTATCCCCTCTTATTAAACACAATCCATGAGATTTCAATTATTTATTTAGATATAGTTCAGGTGAAGAAGGATTTTTATATAGGAAATTGCAGCTCATAGAAGAGTTTATTAACCTGAAGACCGAAATGTCACTTTGTGGTGGCAAGGGCATATTAACTCCGTGAGAAGTAAGAAACTTCTTAAAATCATTTGTCGCTTGCATCTAGAACGGTCTGGAGCAGTTTCAAGCCATACGTTTAAGTCCATAGATTTCAGTGTTGTAAAGACTAGTTTTCAGCACCATTCAACCAATATCCTAGAGCAAGTCATCAAGATACGTGGTAGCATAGTAAAAAATCGGAAAGAGCTGGATGAATCAGAAAATTGTGGCAATAATTCTAGGGTAGGAAGTACATCCAAATATAACAGAAAAAGTTCCTGTAAAGTAAAGTACATAAAGCTGTCATCAATCTGACAACATACTAGCCTACGACTTAACAACATATGACATGACTCAAATAAAACTGGCAACAATCTGACAACATACCTAGCCTACGATTTAGCAACACATGACATAACTCAAACTGTGGCCTGAATGTAGTCCTACGTAAAGGGGGTTACAATATGTCCTAAAATATAAGTTACCACGATACGGTCTGTTGTAGATTTCTACACCACACGAGATACTAATAACGCGAGCATCATTCTCCTAATACTATAGAATTTTCAATGTCGAACCTCGCTGAAAGTGTAATCGGGTGACTTCTTTATATGGATTTTACCTCAAAATATTCAAACCAATTTTTTCGAAAGAAGTAGCCTGACGGAAATTTGTAGGTTTTCTATTTATCCTTAACTATAGATTTGTATTTCGTTCAAACGCACGAATGTGGGTGAGATAAATGACATAGCTGCTTTTAGAACAGTCTGTGTTTTGTTGTATCACTTGTTGTATGAAAAATCATGACGAGTAGTATATCAGAAGCAATTGTGGGCAAGCATTGCAAACTCTGTGAATGCACTCTGAGTAGTTTGTTTATCGATAAAAATAAATACCATGAGTTCGTCGATAAGCTCCCCAAGGAACTCAAACTGGAAAAGTTAGGCGGAGCTGAATTTGTGGAAAAGATACTGAACCTATTAGATTTTGACTTGCTTGAAGTTAATAAAAAAACTTATGGGAAAATATACCATATCGAAGCGGAAGGGGTAAAGAAACCGGTTGTTTATGATCTGCTATGTGAAATATTTCGCCATTTAGACCCTGAATCTAGAGCGAAGTCATTCCATGAAATCATTGATGATTACTATAACAAAGTGTTGTCAGGACATGGTGTAACAGAAGATGAATTCAAGTTGCAAGTGAAGTTGTTTTTACCATACGCAAAGCTGGAGAAGTTCTATCAGGTATGTACATAGGAAGATTGTTTGGTTTATATTAGAATATTTTGGGTTCCCTGAATTTCACCAGTTGTTCAGGTGAGAAGTATTTGAAAGGCTTGGGGCAATAAGGTACCAAAGCCACATTAGAATGGTAAACATTTCCATCTAAAAGCAAGGTGTAGGTATCTATGTCCGAAATCGATTTTCATGACAATTCGCTGGAGTATTTTGTTACAATTTCTGATTGGTCTTTTTGAACAACCACGATATCCACAGATTTTTACGCAAAGAAAGTCATAAGCCACGTACAATCCCAAGATGTACGCCCAATGGAAATTAGTCGATAGTAAAGACAATCGATGCTTTGATGATGCTGAAAACAAAGAAGGTTTTCGATAGACACTATCATCCGACCGATAGTAGTGCTGTAGTTCTGATAATGACTTTGAGCGAGTAAATAAGGCGAACAAGTGGATTAGCGGCTCATGACTTTACTGCCGTTATAGATAATTTATCATTACCACTAGATAATGATTTCGAGCCACTTATTTAACTATCTTCACGAAGAAAGACTGTCGTAGACCGCAAATAATTTCAATACGTGTGTGTGATACGCAATTTTGTATTGAATGGCTTATGCCCTTCTTAAATAAATACATTTGTGGTTTCGTGAATTTTCAGGAAAGTTCATGATTATTTTCTGACTCAGTCGTAATGAAAATACAGGACTTCTACGCATTTCGCTTCATATCTGTCTGGAAAAATACCTTTAGCGCAGATAAGGTGTCCGTCAAATTACATGAAGTGTGCTGTTTTAATACTAATAATGGACGCTCGAGTTATACTTTTGAAGTAGAGTGATGAATTTTCAGATAATGTGTGTAAAAATAAAACCTGTAACCTGTAACCTGTATTTGATCGTGCGGTCTTGGAGCACCGGCATGCCCTCCCCTGTGAGGTCTTAAGTCACCTGATTCACGAGCCCCTTGTACTACATTAACAAAGGCACGAGGCGTTGGTTGCACTCGATTGGGAAACCGATCCGCATAAATCCGTGATGCCGCGGCAGCATTTTGTAAAGACTACTCCCCCGCCCGTAAATAAGAATCATTTCCACAAGTTCAGCGTTTTCGTAAACATGTGCCATTTTTTATTTCGTTTGAGCCACGCAACAAACACCACTATTCTCTCACGTGTTACCGACTGACACATTGACTGAACACAACTAAAAACATCGTTTCAAATTCTTTCGCTTTTTTGTTTCCGATGCGATGAACCGATAAGGCGGATTATATCCGTTGTTGCCAAAGACGAGCACATAATATTATTATTGAGACAGGGCGGTACTCAAACTTCTAAAGGGCTATAACTTTGTTACTTTAATTTTACCAGAAAAATGTTAAAGGAAAAAACATTTCTTTTGATCAGATATACTCACTGTTGAAATAAATGACTCATCTTCGAAGTCACCCTGTATACTTATAAGGCAAACAATTTTTAAATTACGTTTGGAATTCAGCATTTTTTGAATAAAGCACAATGCCACAGTTTTCAAAGCTGAATTTTTTTTGACCAAAAATATACTTTTCTGCATCTGTTGTCGCCAA